TTTTTACATCAGATATTTTATTACAAATAATCATTTTGCTAATGACGAAATATTACGAATAAAAATTATTAGATCATGCGTTACTAAAATAGTAATGATGACCCTTTACATAATGAGATATCACGTGAGACAGACTTATCGCGATTCATTTAATTATACTTGGGCTAAGTGATTGACCGACTTAGCGCTTATCACGACTTTATATAGATTGACCGACTTATCGAATTTTTTTAAATACGTAGTAAAAAAACGGGGCGAAAATTTTTGGCCGAGTTAGGCTAAAACCGACTTATCGAGTTTACATATGTACAACAATATCAAAAACTCCAATATTTGTGCCTTTTAAGAAACTATAAAATTTTATATTTAACAGATACCAACATTCTGTATACATTTATGTAATAGTAAATGCTAAATGAATCCATCTCAAGATGCCCATAAAGTAAGGTACATAAATATTTTTAACTAATCAGCCAAGATTTTTTTTTCTTTGCTGTTGACATTTTTTTAATTCCAAAATCAAAATTTACAGAATTTTCATATCTTTTGGTAATGTATGGTATTAATCCAGATGTTGTCCTATTTTCATTCAGTTGACTCTCTTAAATATATATATTTTATATTAACACATGTTTAAAGGGAATGCAAAAAAATAAATAAAACTTGCATTTGTAATCTAACACAATATTTACAATGGAACTACTGAAATAAATTTAAAATAATCATAGTTAGTTCAGTAGAAACATCAAAATATATAAAATAAACTAACTATGAAGAAATATTTACATTATATCAATCAAACTTAAGGCTACTTACTTACATAAAGGTTTTTACTGAATACTGATATTTGTAAGAAAATATACCTGATAAAATGCTTGCATCCTCAAAACTCTTAAATTTAAGACTGTTGAATTTAAATCTGGAATTTAAATATCTGACAAATGTGTATATAATTATGAGAGTTCTCTCTTCTTAAACAATGTGTGTTCGAGATCCAAAACACCAATTTTATAATTAAACATTAAAATAATTCCCTATATACTTATCCACTTTTAAAAATCCGGATAGATTAAATGATATAATTTGGTATCCTTTATTAAAATGGGAGGGAATAAATAAGCCAAACTTTTTAAATTCCTGAAAATTAGGCAATCATTGTTCAAAAAAATTATTTCTAAAAAAATTAGTTATTTTAATTTTAATTCCAAAATAATCTGGAAATAAACAGGAGTTTTAAAATATGAATCGGTTTTTTTTATAGTAAGATTGTAATTACATATCAATATAAAAATTTTTTTAATAATAATAGATTGAATTAATATACTTTTTCATCTTCAATTCATTGTTTTTGCCATTATAATCATCTTCATATCCTTCAAGAATATAATCATCACCATTATAAAGAGCATTGGTGTCTCAATGTCTAGTAAAGAGGTAACCATGTTTTTCCTTTTCAGAAATTAAATAAAAAAACAAATTGATGTAATTAATTTATCACCGTCATTATAATCTTTCATTTTTTCCCCCCTTTTCTTTTCCTTGTTAATTCATCCCTGAATTAGTTTTCTACAGGGTTGTCATAGGTAAAAGTTTTTTGTGTGGTAAAAGCAGCAATTCCTTTTCCTTCTCCAAGCAACCTGAAGATTTCAATTATCATTTACTAAATCTTTCAATAACTTTTCAACATCTCTAAATATTTTTGCTCACTAACTGGTTTACTTGATTTATGGTTTGTTTTAGGATCTCGAAATTATAGTTGATTTTATGATGAGGAAAAAAAGTTCAGTTGTAAAAGTATTTTTTTATTGTAAAGACATTTGAAGATGTTAGAATTTGTAGATATTTGCAATTAGTTTTATGTGAAAAAATCGGTAAATTGGTGATGCTTTATAATGACATCAAATCCAGGGTTAGTTTGTAGATAATAGGGTTATTGACGGTCTGGTCCAAAGACTACCAGCCTAACCAAGGGACTGAACCGTGGTCCAGACTAGTGTTGGTTGCCAAAACTATTTTGAAGAGACGAAAGTCAAAACTAAAATTAAAAGTTATATGTCAAAACTAAATCAAAAGTCAATAATCAAAAATTAAAACTAGTTTCGACTTATGGCGAAAGCTTTTGACTTTCGCACGGTTTCGAAACTCTCTAGTTTTGGAAACCAACACTAAATGTTACACGCGGGCATTGCGGGCATTGAATTTTCAACACTAATTGTGACGTGCACTATACGATTTTAAATATTTTTTTAATTACTATTATTACATATTTAATATTATCGTTGACTAAAAAATTGTTTTATTGTGGTTTGCTTCATTGAAAATTTTTTTTTTTGAATTAATGTATCGCTCACGGGAATTAACTTGTCCTAATTATTCTTTAGAATTTTCTTATTTTATTTTTGGCTACTTTTATTAAACAAAATTTTTTAAAAAAATTCGTGATTTTTTATCTTTTGTTCAATCCTTAATTTTTTAATTTCGCGTATATATAATTTTCTCCATTTGTGTTTTTATCATTATTATTCTAATAACTCTTTGTAAATGTTGTATGTGAAATTCTGATTAGCTAATTTGAATTTCACAT